ATTCAATGACAGATAAATATAATTTTCATTTTTAATTTAATACACGACTAGTCGTCGAGTGGTAGACAAACACCATTGGAAAGTGTATTGAAACCAAAAATATTAATCAACAAATATATCTATAAATCCAGTTATAAGTGCTATAAATAAAAATACACACAAATATGACATAATTTATACCCAAACAAAATCCACACATAATAGAAATGCAAGAGAAAAACACCATTAAATGACAGGCAAACTGCACATCACACCCAACCCCACCCCCTCTTAGGGGTCAAGAATCTAATCCCACTAATACTGGTTGACGACAGCCAGCAGTTCCCCTCCGGGGGACACAAATTCCTAACATATATATAAAGTCATATAAAAAATGATTTCTTGGAAATAATCTTCGCTTATAATTATATACTGCACTCCGATATCAACCAAAAGGGGACCAACAAAATGACATACCTTTCCCAATATCATAGGGGGTGGCAAAAACAAGGGGAGTGAAAACCAGAATAAATTATATAATTATATATCTGCCGCAACTATTTAATGGCCATTAAGCTAATACAGAACTTAATGACTTAATCATTGGCATTAATGTATTTCCAATTGCATTAATGGATAAAATGAAATAAAAACACAAATCGCGCATAATAAAATGCAATGTAAAACACAAAAAACAAATAAATAAAACAACATACCTAGGTAGAGTTCCGGTATGTGCTCGACTATTGAACACTTGGGATCCATTACGATGTGATTCTTTTCGGCCAACTGTCGGCATATCAATGAGACGGACATCCGCTCGTCGGCCAACAAACTCTTGGCCGAGTTGTCCGCAGTGAACACTTTCACAAATAACTGAAATATGAATTAAAATGATATAAGAGATTATAATCAGGTACCAAATATAAAATGATCCAGATGCAACACTCCATGCACATCGCTGAATAATGTCAATATTTATACTCGGTATTAGTGAAGCCCTTATTAATAAATACATAAATACAACGGATCAACACATCGAGGTAAAAGCTGTGTTTACATTGCATTATATAAATTTATTTATGTATTAATAGTTACATAACTTTATTACATAATATTCTGTGCCCTAATATATGCATCATATTGTTTAGTAAACACAATATTCTGGTATCAAAATGTATTAACACATCATTCACTATATATCGAGGGCTTTATTGCTGTCGCCAATGGTTTGCCCACACATTAGACTTATAGGTAATAAGAGATATCAAATATTTAAACACCAAAAAGTCTTGTCTTATCTCTCGGGAGTTGAGAGAGAGAGAGAGAGAGAGAGAGAGAGAGAGAGAGAGAGAGAGCTGATGAAAGGGACTATAATATTACATAATAGCTGAGGGGATGTCTATGTTTGGCAGAGTAAAGTGTCCACGAAAAAATACATCAGGGATATTTTATTATGTTAAAAGCCATATTATCCGCCGATAATAAGCGTGTTATCGTATGGCAAATAGTGGTTCAGTAATAATAATAATAATATCCACGGTTTTCACAGCTAATAAAACACAATACACAACAACCTATTAGCGCAGATGTACTGTACAGTACTGTTAGGTTATATAATACAGATTTCACAGACCCCCAGGACTATCGCCCCCCTAAACCAAACGGTCCACCACTTCAGACACACAATACAAATCCTAATGCAATAACTGATAAGAATATTAGGGAGAACTGAATGGGAGAAAAACATGGTCATAAAAGTGAAGTGCATGTTTAGCCTATTATTGTCTCGTTGAAGTGTACCTGCGCCACCCCACTCGGCACTAACCAAATTTACCATCGTTAACAAACAATTGATTATATAAATTGTAACTCCAACAAACAACCTTTGCTCCTAAACAAACAAAACAGCCATGATTATATTACATGCCAGAAAATTTAAGCTAAACTAATAGCTTTAGTGGTTTCTCTCTAGAATTTAATAACAATACTTATAATAATAATAGTAATCAAGAATTTAGCCAAAAAACATCGTTGCCTTTTGTATCAAATTCTTGTGTCAAACACAACGACAACAACACCACTAAACACAACCATTCCGTACGACTAATGCTAATAAATGGCGTGCATTAAGAGATAGAGAGCACCGGCGAGTGCTGTACCTTCTTATAGCTGGTCTGAGCCATCTTTTGTAATGCGAGCTTTATTTTCTCAGCTCTGGTTATTGGCTCCGGTAGTAGTGGTCTCTGATCCTAGAGATTGAGAGAGAGAATAGGAGAGAGAAAGAATGAGAGAGAGAGAGAGAGAGAGAGAGAGAGAGAGAGAGAGAGAGAGAGAGAGAGAGAGAGAGAGANAGAGAGAGAGAGAGAGAGAGAATAGGAGAGAGAGAGAGAGAGAGAGAGAGAGAATAGATGAGAAAATACATATAAGACTAAAGAAAAACAAAAACCACTGAAAAAAGTGTGTTTGATATCTACTTAAGACACGACACGAAACACAGACATAGGTATGGCTACGGGAGAAAAAAGTCAAACACTGTGTTTGTGTACAAACAGTGGTATTATATCTTAGGGTTAGAGAGAAAGGCAGACAATGTATACGAAAATTACAATAAGAGAGCGAAAGAAATAGTGAAATGCAATCAAACCAATGGTTTGGGCGATCGGCTAAGACATACATAAGGGATTGCATGTGAGAGAAGTGATGGAGTGGTGGTAGCGGTGAGAGAGAGAGAGAGAGAGAGAGAGAGAGAGAGAGAGCACAGGGAGAGAGATGGTCCATAACATAGCAACCAAAGTCATTGATTAGGGCAATGAATTATACTACTGGCCAATACACACAATCACATGGGTTTTAATTCAATGTATTTAATACAGTGAAGAAAAATACAGTACATGTTATTGTAATGGTATGGCGAAAGTGCAATGGTTTTACATCGTTGGTCACCGGGAGTGGGGGAAAGGGGGGACTGGTATCTAAGGCTTTGGTATCTATTTAATGGTGTATAACATTCCGGTGAAATAGTGTAATACACTATACGAGTAGTGGACACACACTATTAGCTTGGTAATGATTTCTTTAGGTGCACAAAAACCATTGCTATAAATTAAAACGCTTTTCATTTGGCAGTAAATCTTTGGCACAAAAAACCAATTCAAAAAATAATCAAAAAATACTTTTTACTACTTTTTTTCTATCGCAACAAAAAAGGTGCACAAAAACCATTGCTATAAATTAAAACGCTTTTCATTTGGCAGTAAATCTTTGGCACAAAAAACCAATTCAAAAAATAATCAAAAAATACTTTTTACTACTTTTTTTCTATCGCAACAAAACATCCAATTTTTAATGTAAAATAATAGTGACTTTCAGGAAAACCCATTGCTATTCAAAAAGCATATAAATTGCAATAAAAATTCATAATAAAAATAAAATTATAAAACAATAAAAGCCATTGAATTTTGTATTTTTTTTCAAAGAATGCACAGAATTTAATATAATTAAAAAATCAATAGATTATTAAAAACACATGCATTTTATAAACGCTATTAAGCATATATGGCATGAAAGGACACATCGCATGGCATATGTGTATGTGTTTTATATGCATGTGTGATGGGGTCGAGGGCACCGTTAGGTGGGGGTTATAGTGACTATAAATAATTAACAACACACACATCCATACATACATATATCATAAAAATATGAACCAATATGAAAATACCTGAACATCTTTCGCCTGTTGACTACTTCCTACTCCTATTGTTTGATTGCTTTTTGATTGTATTGTCTGTAGACTAGAGTTATTGCCAGTACTGCCGGCGCCGCCCGACGACGACGACTGTTCAGAGGACAGCATCGATAGGGAGTCAGAGTAGGCCGAGTCGTTGTCCGGCGAGTCCGTACGCGACCCACCGTTCGTGTATTGCATCTGTCAATAGTGTACAACAAAATTAATCAATGAATATACAAATTAATATAAACTTCATTTAAGTATAACAACTTTATATTGTATTTTCATATAACAACTCGTTTTTATTAATCAAGCCATTTACACATTAATCTAACCAAGTATTTTACATATACTGCACATGTTTGACCTTAATTTAGAAGTTTAAATATATTCCGGATATATTTAAACAGAATATTCTGCGATTATAAGCACTTTATTCGCCATATTATGTCTGTTATTAGTATTAATGCAAAAAGGATTAAGAATTACAACACTTATACATAAATGTATGGAAATTATTGTTCACTATATAAGGCATTAATTATTCAAAAAGCAGCGCTTTTCCAGTCAAACCCATAGACGCATAACAACAACAAAACAATTGCATTATTCAATTGAATTCAATTCCGTATTCAATACGGCATGACTTGAATAAAGGTTTCATTAATAATACATATAAATACATAGCAATTGAAAACAAGCGAGTGATTAGTGAGAGAGAGAAAAACAGCATCAATGGAAAAAATGTGCGAATGAGATAGAATGTCCATGATCAATTATACATCTCATTGAATATCATATGTGACACAAACACTGTTGTGTGCCTTTTGAATCAAATGCAAAACTGTATAGTAATTAAATTTTATTTTAATTTCCATTGTGATTAATAGCAGGAGAGAGAGAGAGAGAGAGAGAGAGAGAGAGCAACCAATACGGTAATTAGTGTATTAGCGTTAAGTGAAATACTGTTTAATTAATTTTCACCGTTTTTGTTTCGGGCAAAAAACTCGGGGAAAACTAAAAGCGAGAAAAAATATTCACTCATTTAAGCGATAATTAATATTTAAACACTGAAAATATGAAATGATTTTTCAAACAACAAAACTGCAAAAAACATTATAAATTATAATTCACATGAAAATACTGAACGATTCATTAAATATATAAAAATACAGACAGTATTTCGTTAACAAAAAACTACACAAAAAACTACACAAAAAGCATAATTTTTTAATTGTTTGCAAACTTTTTCTTTTAGGAAAAAATTAACTTTTCGTTTGAAGTCAAGTGTCGGTTGCGATGAAAATCGTAATTATATTTACATAAAAACTAATGAATTTCTCGCTTATATTGAAGTCTAAGACATACCGTAGAAAAAAACAAAGTCTACTATAAATAAGCAAAAATTACTTTCAAAAAGAGGCAATATTTTAACGCTAATTAAATTAACATAAAAATAGTCTCGACTTAATTAGTGTCGGTAAGTATTTCCACTAAATTTACTTCAAAAAAGTTTTACTTATTCCGGGTTTTACTTATTCTCGTCTCTCTCTCTCTCTCTCTCTCTCTCTCTCTCTCTCCGCAAAAATGGCAAATACTTCACAACAAAAGATATGATAATAGATATGCAAAAAATACGAAATTTAATTAAATCATAATCAATATCTAATACAATACACAAAAAAGCAAACAAAACCAATAAAAATTCCTCATTATATGACTCGCAATATAAATACAAAATTTAATTAAAATACAAATACATTTACATCGATATGGGGTTGAGTCACAATACATGGTAATAATAAGTCTGCCAGATTAAGTATTGTTGGTAGCGATAATGGCAACTATTAACTTACGGTTCATAACTACCGTACCTAACGTTAGCCTTTTACGTAATTTAATTGAGTTTAAGTGCCGTTAGGATAATATAATGATATGATAACTAAATAGCGATAACAAGTGCACAGAAAACAACATAAATTTAATTATAGCAAATGGCTTTGGGATACAACTGTCTGTATGTGGGTTATTATTATTGTACTATTGATTATGTAGGTTGTGTGCCTGTCGTGTGTATGGAGCGGTCGTGATGACGGTGGTGGCGATGGCCTCGCAGATACTACACTAGCTAACGGTAATGTAGACACCGTAGCCATCCCTGTGTTGCCTCCGCCGCCGGTGCTGTTGTTGTCGCCAATTGTATCCCCATTAAGACCATTATCGATGATAGTAGTAGTAGTGGTGGGCGCTGTCGAGCCCAATGTCATGTCACTTATCGTTATGTTAGGCTTCAATGGCTCGGCATTAGTGCCAGAGTTGGCGACGTGAGTGCCCTTTTGGGTCACACCTGAGCCACTGGCCGCCTGAGCCGCGGCCGCCGCCACCGATTCCCTGTGGCTGTTACGGTCGGACAGTTCCCGATCGATCTGAGTCTCCAGAGCGCACAGTTGGCCCAGTATTAGATCCAATTCGCTCTCAGGGCTCGCTGTAAGACAATAGGGATATATATTATATCAGTAAAAACAGACATACACCCAATAATAATAACATGATAACTAATACATCCAACACACGGACAGCACACATACCTCGCCAGCACTACTGCCACCACCGCTACCGGAGCGTCTATGATGTGATCGATTGCCATTATTAGGCACCGCAGCCATCCCTGTGTTGCCGCCGGTGCTGTTGTTGTCGCCAATTGTATCCCCATTAAGACCATTATCGATGATAGTAGTAGTAGTAGTAGTGGTGGGCGCTGTCGAGCCCAATGTCATGTCACTTATCGTTATGTTAGGCTTCAATGGCTCGGCATTAGTGCCAGAGTTGGTGACGTGAGTGCCCTTTTGGGTCACACCTGAGCCACTGGCCGCCTGAGCCGCGGCCGCCGCCACCGATTCCCTGTGGCTGTTACGGTCGGACAGTTCCCGATCGATCTGAGTCTCCAGAGCGCACAGTTGGCCCAGTATTAGATCCAATTCGCTCTCAGGGCTCGCTGTAAGACAATAGGGATATATATTATATCAGTAAATATAGCGCACAGTTAGGGATATGTATGTATTGAACGTGTAATTAAAGCCAAACATTGTTTGTATGAATAACACAAACACAACGAGATTAAAAAGGCTTTTCTCCGGCAAAACAGACAATCCCTTTGCAGTACACAATCATTCAGAAGTGATCCCTAACTAAACTAAACTAACCATATATAGTGTACATTTGTAAAAATCATTCGCTATTGTGAAGTCGATGGTTATGTTACCATTTAAACTGCAATAATGTAAAACACACACACCGTCTATAATGAACTTCATTGAACTAACTTAAACTTCTCTCTCTCTCTCTCTCGTCAATAGTGTACAAAATAAAAATTAAACACAAAAACTAATGTCTAAATATAAATATACATTCTCTGTCCCATTGTGTTGTGTTAAAACCCGGGAGTCTATTGTAAATGAGACAGAAAAAACTAATAATGGTAAAAATAATAATAAAATAAAAGTTTAACACACGCTTTATTTAGCATTAATAGGATTACCGGTTGCGGTAGTAGTGAATCGCACCGTTAGATTCACTACAAACACAAAAACCCCTTGTCGTCAATCGAGAGATACGGAGAGTAATTAAAAAATTATTATTATTTGTACACTAACTGAGCGCTCAATAAAAAAACAAACTAACTAAATACAAATAACATGTCTTATCATGTGCTAAAAATACACATACAATTCACTATTGAGAAAATACAAAGTAATCAAAAAATAAGTGAAAAAACAATAAATGAAGAGATAGTCAGGGAATACATAGACAGACATAACATCACTACTACTTGTATTGTAAATATGTTTTATATATTTTTAAATTTTTTTATTTACTTTCGAGATTAGCCATCGAATAGTGTACGGAATCCAACATAATTAACAACGATGTTTATATAGTGTACGGCACAAAGGATCCCGGTTGTTTTTGTTAGGGTTGAGAGTTGGGTTCGTTGTCTTCCCGTACGAGTCCTCCAACCGATTCAACCGTAAAGCGAAATCCTAATCAACGAAAAATTATATTCATTATTATTATTATTGTTTTCATTTATTATATAAATAATGAGTGAAAAGTATTTTTAATCCGATTATAACATGCGTTCAGTAGTTTTGTTTAGCGCTGACGACAAACACCACACGTAAAACATATATAAATTAATTATATACACAAACAAACGGCTAAATATAGTTGACTACTGGTCTCTCTCTCTCTCTCTAATAACATGCGTTCAGTAGTTTTGTTTAGCGCTGGCGACAAACACCACACGTAAAACATATATAAATTAATTATATACACAAACAAACGGCTAAATATAGTTGACTACTGGTCTCTCTCTCTCTCTCTTTCTCTCTCTCTCTCTCTCTCTCTCTCTCTCGTACTTAAACAAAGTAAACAACGAAAAACTCTATGCAATAATCCGCGTATAAAACTGCATAATATATAAAAGTTTTGTTTCGTTAAAAGTGTAATCAATTCCCAGGGAATTGAATAATGTATGAGAAATACATTGAATTGTATATTCAATTCAGTAAAGTGTACGATAAATACACACTTGCACTTCATTAAGGGCTTCGACTGTATCGGCAAAACTCAATAATAAAAATAATGTTTAAATATAACAACAAATAAAATTATATGACTTTAAAAGACAGTGACATTCAAATGACTCGTAATGACTGAACGCACAGAATATTCTGTGCCATTAAAAAGGGCACACATTAATGGATATATAGGGGAAGGGATAGAGGAGTGGGAAATACAGTGTGTAATCAAATGAATGCAACTTTATTTTTTACTTATGAACATCTCGTTTATAAGACATTAAGAGAAAATGTATTAATAAAAAGAAATGCAAAACTGAACTTCAATTTCAAACTCAAATGGCTTTTAATGTCTATTAATGCGTGAGATTTTGTATGAATGCATGCATTAATATACGAGAGAGAGAGAGAGAGAGAGAGAGAGAGAGAGAGACTCAATAGGAAACCAAATGAGAAATAAATCTCGACAAACTATTTTCAATACAAACTCTGTATTTGCCGTTAAATTAACTTCAATTCACACTTACATTATACACAAGAAAAATATTTATTAATACAAAAATGTATTGAAAATATAATATAATATAATTGTATTGCACTCGACATCCCATTCCCCCACTCTTTCACTACAACACATCCGTCTCTATAACACAACGAGTCTTAAGACCAGAGAAGAGATATCTATCTATCGATCCGTTTATTATTATTAGCGGAAAAGTAATCGTAAAAACCGTTATATAATGAAAGGGTATTGCGATTGAGGAGTGAATATAACACCACTTTTTAATGGAAAAAATTTCTTTACTTATAGTACAGTATATCTATCAGACATTACGATCGCATACCAGTGCCATAACATATCTCACACCAGATATTATATAATAGACAGTTATTATTGTGAACAGTGTTTTTTGCTCATGGTGTATTTAAAGATTTACTGGTATCTTACAGTGCGCTCAGCGGAGGTTTTAGTCTCTCTCTCCCTCAAAATTTTTTTGGCAAATTATTTGCAATATCTTGAAGTTCAGTCACCCGCCTCTCTCTCTCTCTCTCTCTCTCCGCCAAAAAGCAAATAAATAACTATAATATAAAAAGATTTCATTTTTCTCTAATCAATGGGAGAAAAGATGTATAAATATAGCAAAGAGTACATCATTTCATTCATACAATCTCTCTCTCTCTCTCTCTCTCTCTCTCTCCACAACAAATGGCAAATACTTCACAACAAAAGATATGATAATAGATATGCAAAAAAAACGAAATTTAATTAAATCATAATCAAAATCAATATCTAATACAATACACAAAAAAGCAAACAAAACCAATAAAAATTCCTCATTATATGACTCGTAATATAAATACAAAATTTAATTAAAATACATTTACATCGATATGGGGTTGAGTCATAATACATGGTAATAATACCAGACGGTCTAATTCATAACAACCATCGCTATTACCGTTGATAATTGAATGCCAAGTATTGATGGCATGGATTGCAATCGGAAAATGCATTAAATTAACTCAAATTCACGGCAATCCTATTATATTAAGCATGCATTCATATAAAATCTCACGCATTAATAGACATAAAAAGCAAATAAATAACTATAATATAAAAAGATTTCATTTTTCTCTAATCAATGGGAGAAAAGATGTATAAATATAGCAAAGAGTACATCATTTTATTCATACAATTTCTCTCTCTCTCTCTCTCTCTCTTACTCTCTCTCTCTCTCTCTCTCTCTCTCTCTCTCTCTCGCATTCACTATCTGTCGGTATATTAAATAATTGAAAGGACTTTTAAAACATAGATATATTCAATGGTTAAATGTAAACATTAAGCAAAAAATATATAACGTTTTTCTCATCCCAACGTATATCACGTTATAATACATAATAACTGTACAAATGCTAAACATATTCAACAATATTCATACATAAATCAATTTGAAGAGCATTTTCACACAAAAAATACAATTTTTAAACATATTTTGTACACAATTCCAGTGCATTATAACGAGAGATTCATGTATGAAGTGATTGTATTGTGTGTTGCATTCAATGGCTATAAAAATATATATCTTTAAGTTATATAAGTGTGTGAATAATAAACCAATAAAATTGTATACAATTTCTGAATATATAGTATCAGTAAAAACCCAAAAAAAAGTTTTATTCAAACCATTGATATAAACATTTTATACAAAAAGAGGTATTTTTATTGCGAACAAATGGTTGAGAGAGAGAGAGAGAGAGAGAGAGAGACTCAATAGGAAACCA